AAAAAAAAAAAAAAAAAAAGGAATTCTTATATTTCGTTTTTCTTTTTTTTTTCTTTTTTGCAGAGAACAGAGTAGAAGGAAGTAGGATAAAGAAGTCCATTGTAAGGAACTTTTAATTATTCCGTTACACCTCATTTCCTTTTTTCTCGGCCCCTGTGTACGAGTACAATAGTTGGATCTTCGTTAAACATTTGAATCGATACCGCGTTCTTTGATTCGTATTACGGTGAATATTCGTTGGAAAAAAGATTGTTAAAAATATTATATGGTGCAAGTTAATGAGGAATGGAAAAAAATTTGAAATAAGTCGAGAGAAAATAATATTGTTTGAAAATTATTATATTGTATATTATATTTATAGTAATGTTAATTATAATATTATCAATTATAATTATTAATTGTAATATTGTTTTTTATCTATATTTCGATTCTACTTTATCAAAAATTAATTTATTTCTATTTCTACGTTTCAAAAAAATCTATTTTTCTCGTGTTGTTCAATTCAGAATATATTTCTGATTTTTCTCTCCTGTTGACGTTGTTTCGACTTCCGATTCAGTATGTATGTCGGAAGTTGACCAATTTACCAACTGATGTCCGGTCGGTAAATACGAATAGAAAAAAGTCGAAGCAAGAAACTTTTGAATTGATGTGTTTACTAAAGATACAGGAAAGAATGTAATCTTGCAAATCTAAGAACGATTTTTCCTAGAAGACTAATCAATAATTCAAAATTGTTTTATTATTTAAGTTACGAGATGTTAATCGAATAAAAAAAGAAACTTTTAAAAATTTTTGCATCATTTAATAATAATAATTAATAATAAAATATCAAATAATATTTAATCAATTGAAATAAAATTTTTTTTAAAAAAACACGATAAACGAATAAATATAAAATATGTTTTAAAGATTCTTATGAAATAGATACGAAATATTCTTTACGAAATAACGATGAAGTAATTATATTAAATAAAGATGAACGAAATAATTTGATGTATCGGTTATTACTTTGCGGGAAATTAAGTTGAAAGAAAGTTAAAAAGCATTCTTTAATATTAACTTTACAATGTTCTCTTCTCTATAATATCATTATATTTGCTTTTACGGTCGCAAACGGTGCTTTCATAAAAGTGCTTCCACAGTGTTAATTTTCATGGTTTAACTTTTTTTCCCCCACGTGAATAAAAGAAAATTACGCACGCAATAAAAGAAAATTCATTTCAAGAAATTGAACCGTGAGTTTCCCACCTTTTATTAACATTTAAGAATAAAAAAAATCGATGCAACGAATGTAAATCAATTTCATAATAAAAATTTACGCGAGAAAGAAAATTCGTTAAGGCGAAACGAATATTATAATATTACATAAATAATATATTATATAACGAAGAAAACTCTTGTCTCTCGAATATTATATTATATTTTATAAAATTAATTTTTCCAAATAATTAGCTATATTTCAAATGTAAATACATTCGTATACTATAAAATTGTAAAACGAAAGAGAAAAAACCATCCTTTTTAAATAATTTCCATACCTTTCATACTTTTTTTTTCCCACATAATTCTATGTAAGCGAATGTTCCACTTAGAAAGGAGCATTATCGTGCTACGTGATACGAATATAAAATATCATCTTCAAGATTCATTATTAGAAAATATAAATTTTATTCCATCATAGAATTATTCAAGAAATGAATGCGATGAAATTGAATTTTTACATTCGTTTCTCACGAAATATCCCTCTGCATACAAATATAGAAACGACTTCGAATAAAAACTAATTTACCACTTACGATATTTGA